GAGCATGAGTGGGGGGGGAGGAGGAGGAAGGGGAGGAAGGGGATGGGGAGGGGGGTGAGAAGGGGGAGGGGGAGGAGCCAAGCTAGGTGCGCTCGCGCTATCTGACGTCCTACCCCTCCCTCCCATCCCTTACCATGGCGCTGATTTTCTCTATCATCCGAGACGCGTGTCGTAGCGGGGCCCGGACCGTGCTCCGCCGCGCGCGTGCGTAAGTGGTGGTGGTGCACGTCTACGTGCGTGCCTGCGTGTGTGCGCCGTTGTCCGTGGTGGTGGTGTGGTGGTGGTAGTGGGTGGTGGTGGTGGTGGTGGGTGTGGTGGTGTGCTGGTGGGGTGGTGGTGGTGGTGCTGCTGGGGTGGTGGTGTGGTACTGTGGTGGTGGTGGTGGTGGTTGTGGTGGTGGTGGTGGTGGTGGTGATGGTGGTGGTGGTGGTGCTGGTGGTGGTGGTGGTGCTGGTGGTGGTGGTGTTGGTACTAGTGCTGGTGCTGGTGGTGGTTGTGGTGGTGGTGGTGGTGGTGGTGGTGGTGGTGGTGGTGGTGGTGGCGGTGCGGCGCGGTGGTGGCGGGCGGATGGGCGCGCGAGAAAAAGGCCCGCGCTGGGGCGAGAACGCCATCCTGAACGACGGAGGCCAAGCACCGATCCGAAAATGAGGCCCACGCTGCAGCGGGAGCACGATTCGGAACGATTCGGGAGCAGCGCGGCCATCACCCGGACGCCATCAGGGGAAGGATTCGGGAGCAGAAATGAGGCCGGCGCCTCAACGACAGCAGCATTTTGGGAAAAAATGACGCCGGCGCGAGAGCAGCATTTTGGGGAAAAATAGCGCCGGCGCCTCAGCGAGAGTCGTTGCCCGGGATTTCCCGGGCATCCTGTGTGTATAAAAACAGTACGCGGAGGGTGCGCGGCCATCACCCGGACGCCATCAGGGGAAGAGGGATAGTATATTCATATTGAGTAATTGTGAAGGCGGCGGCGATGACGATGGCGGCGCCCCGACGGCGCGATCGTCGACGGCGTCACGCGCCATGGTGCTTCACCGCCCCCCTCGCAGATATATCCGACGATGCGATTTTCCCACCCTGGGCCAGAAGTCCAAGTCGGGCCGGGGGGGGTCCGGACCAGGAGGTCCGGACAGGGGGTCTGGACTGGGGGGGCCCGGACTAGGGGGTGTGGACCAGGGGGTCCGGACTCAGGACCGGGGGTCCGGGCCGGGGGATCCAGATCCACCGGGGGGTTTGGGACCGGGAGGTCTGGACCGGAGGGTCTGGGCCGGGGAATCTGGACTGGGGGGTTTCCTGCTCCGTATACTCCTCCCTCCCGTCCTCCCTCGTCCCTCCTCCTTCCTCCTCCTCCCTCCTGCCTCCCCTCTCCTCCCTTCTCCTCCGTCGGGGGATGTCGCGAAGCAAAGCTCTTTGGGGGGCCTCTTGGGGGCGTTGCGAATCTCTTTGGGGAGCCTCTTGGGGGCCTTCTTCGGGCCATCTTGAACTTTCCTGCGCCGCCCTGGAGCCCTCTTGGGCCGTTTCGTGGGGTCCCTTAGAGCGGTGTCAGGGTTTCAGAGTGCGGCACTCGGGGGCCGGTTCTGTTCCGCCGGTTCGGGTTGGCCGTTCAGGCCGGTTTTGCTGATCGGCCCGTTCGCTTCGAACCGGCCAGTTCAGTTTCAGCCCGTCCGTTTTGGGCTTGGGCGGTTCGGTTGCAGGATCTGCCAGTTCACAGTTACGAGGAGGAGGAGGAGGGAAGAGGATCAGCGCCAACCCACGAGACGGCACCGATATTGCTGTAAACCGTGCCTCCCAGTTCCATCTTCATAGGTTATTACGAGGGTTTTCATTGAGGGAAGTATTCCCTTGGAAAACAACCGTTTGAACACCCTGAACAGTGACAAAACGTCATTGTTGGGACTTCAGGGCCACGAGTGCACGGTACGGTTGTGTCCTGACGGTCTTAAATCGTACCAGAACTCCATTTTCAGGGCTTCGACGCTGTGAATCAAGAAAGTTTTTGCGCCCGAGCAGTCCTGCATCGTGCCCAAACGCGATTTCTGGACACCAGCTCCAAGAAACCTGTTGTAGACTCTTGAGACGAATGTGCGCGGCGGTGATGCTAGAACCACATTTTGAAGAAGGTGCCGCTCAACATGCGTGAAGCCCTTGCCAACGTAACAAAAAACGACTGTGCGCGGCGCTAAGGCGAGAGCCGCACTTTGAAACCACCCGCCTTCCATCCGTGAACGTCTTGCAAGCTTTGAGGACGAACGTGCGCGAGGCTGAAGCGAGAGTCACATTTTGAAAACGACCCGCGCTCCATCCGTGTCGCTGTCGCAATTTTTCAGCTCAAGGACCACAAACGGTAAGTGAATCTCGGGCGAAACAGTCGGTCCGCCCTACCGACGCGTCTGAGGGTGCGGGATGGATGAGTTATTGATAAGGAACATGGATTGCTGGGGATGGTATTGTGATGATGATCGTGCTGATGGTAATGCTGCTGCTGCTGCTGATGATGATGATGGTGATGGTGATGGTGATGGTGGTGATGATGCATGTAATAATGAAGATTCGGATGAGGATTCTGATTTTGGTAATGCTGAATGATGGTAGCGACGACGACGATGATGCTGATGATGCTGCTGATGATGATGCCGATGACGATAGCGATTAACATGGTTGGTGATGGTGCTGCTGATGATTTGGGCGTTGATATTGATGCTGATGGTGATGATGAGGACGAGGCTGGTGATGATGATGGTGATGATGATGATGCTGATGACGACCACGATGATGATGAGGATGATGGAAACGATGACGATGACGATGACGATGACGATGACGATGACGATGATGATGATGATGATGATGATGATGATGATGATCATGATGATGATGATGATGATGATGATGATGATGATAAATAAGATGATGCAGATGATCATGATGATGTGGATGCTGATGATGATGATGATGATGATGATGATGATGATGATGATGATGATGATGATGATGGTGATGATGATGATGATGATGATGATGATGATGATGATGATGATGATGATGATGATGATGATGATGGGTCGGATGTTGGTCATGATGCTGGTGGTGTGGGGATGAAGAGGAGGATAATCAGGAGGGTGAGGAGGGTGAGGAGGAGGAGGAGGAGGAAGAGGAGGAGGAGGAGGAGGAGGAGCTTGAGGAGGAACAGGAGAACTGGTGGGGAAGATGATGATGCTGATTATGCGGAGGAGGAGGAGGAGCTTGAGGAGAAGTAGGAGGAGAACGAGGAGGACGATGATGATGATGATGATGAGGAGGAGGAGGAGGAGGAGGAGGAGGAGGAGGAGGCGGAGGAGGAGGAGGAGGGTGGGGAAGATGATGATGCTGATGATGATGCTGATGCTGATGATGCTGATGATGATGATGATGACGATGATGGAATTTTGAATATGATGATGATGATGCTGATGACGATGATGATGACGATGCTGCTGCGGATGATGATGATGATGATGATCAATATGATGATGACGCTGTCGATGATGATGAAGATGATGCTGCGGCTGATGATGATGATGATGATGTTGTTGTTGTTGTTGTCGATCATGGTGCTGATGATGGTGATGGTGATGCTGATGATGATGATGATGATGATGATTATGATGATGATGATGATGATGATGATGATGATGATGATGATGATGATGATGATGATCATGATGATGGTGATGATGGTGATCGTGGTGGTGATGATGATGGCGGTAATGGTAGTGGTGACGGTGACGGTGACGGTGCTTGTGATGCTGCTGTTGATGATGGTGATGATGCCGATGCGGATGATGATGATGATGATGATGATGATGATGATGATGATGATGATGATGCTGATTCTGATGATGATGATGATGATGATGATGCTAATGATGATGATGATGATGATGATGATGATGATGATGATGATGTTGTTGTTGATGATGATGATGCTGATGGTGACGATGCTGATGATGATGATGGTGGTTATGATGCTTGTGCTGATGATGATGATGATGATGATGATGATGATGATGACGATACGGGTGGTGGTTATGATGGTTGTGATGATGCTGGTGATGGTGACGATCACAGTGACGGTGATGGTGGTGATGATTGTGATGCTGCTGCTGCTGCTGTGATGCTGATGGTGATGATGATGAGGATGCTGATGATGATGATGATGATGATGATGATGATGATGATGATGATGCAGATGACGATGCTGATGCTGATGCTGATGCTGATGAGGATGATGGTGACGATGATGCTGATAGTGGCGATGCTGATGATGCTGATGATGACGCTGTCGATGATGATGCTGATGATGACGACGATGATGATGATGATGATGATGATGCTGATGATGATGATGATGATGATGATGATGATGATGATGATGAAGATGATTATGATGATGATGATGATGATGATGATGCTGATGATGATGATTTTTAATGTTTTATGATGATGTGTTTGATGATGATGCTGATGAGTGAATTATGATTATGATGCTGATGATGAATGATGCTGATGATGATGATGATGATGATGATGTATGACTGATGATGATATGATGATCTGATGATGATGGCTGATGCTTGATGCTGATGCTGATGACGATGATGCTGATGCTGATGCTGATGAATGCTGATGATACTGATTATGATATGGGTGAGGAGGGTGAGGAGGAGGAGGAGGAGCATGAGGAGTAGAAGGAGGAGGAGGAGGAGGAGGAGGAGGAGGAGGAGGAGGAGGAGGAGGAGTAGGAGGGGAAGCTGGAAGAGGACGATGAAGACCAAGACGACGAGGATGAAGGCGAGGAGGAGGAGGAGGAGGAGGAGGAGGAGGAGGAGGAAAAGGTAGATGCGGATGGGGAATGGGGTGCACTTCAGCCAAGAGTCGATGGTTCATGTCTTGCATTGCCGCGTACTCCACTCGTTGGGGAACGCAATCAGGTTGAAATCCAGGGCACCCCATGTGGTCAGCTACAACGCTGGAATCAGCGCGTGCGAGAAGGGTGGGCAGTGGCAGCGAGCATCGCTGCTGCTCGACAGGCTTCGGGGAGCCAAGCTGAAGCCCGCGGTCGCCAGCTATGGTGCTGCGATCAGTGCGTGCGAGAAGGGCGCGCAATGGGGGTATGCGCTGTCGTTGCTCCGCGAGCTGCTGGAGGCAGCACTGGTTCCCAATGCCATCGCCTGCGGCGCCACTGTCAGCGCCTGCGGAAGGGGCGGTCAGTGGAAGCGGGCCATATCACTGATCAGCGAGCTTGGGGACGCGGGCGTGGAGCCAGATATTGTTTGCTACAATGCTGGAATCAGCGCGTGCGAGATGAGCGGGCAGTGGGAGCATGCGCTGTTGCTAATCAGTGTGGCGGATAATGCAAAGCTGGAGCTGGACGTCATCTGCTACAGCGCTGGAGTCAGCGCGTGCGCGAAAGGTGAGCAGTGGCAACAGGCGTTGAGCTTGCTTAGTGGGATGTTTGAACTCCATCTAGAGATGGATAATGATATAGCCTTTAATGCTGGCATCAGTGCGTGCGAGAAAGGTGGGCAGTGGCAGCACGCGTTGTCGTTGCTCCGCGGGATCGTGCAGCGTCGGCTGGAGCCGACCATTGTCGCCCCTGCAACCTCCATCATCTTTGCTCCTCGTCCCTTCCGAGCCCTCCTCACTCCTCATTTCTGTTCATTCCTGTTCACTCCTCTTGCGCTGTCTTGGGCCCCCCCTTGGGCCGTCTTGGGGCTCTCTTGGGTTGCCTGGGGGCCCTCTTGGGGGCCTCTTGGGCCGTCTTGGGATGATCTTGGGGGTCTCTTGGGCTTGGGCCTTCTTGAGGCCACCTTGGGCGTCTTGGAGCGATCTTCGGGCGACTCGGGGCGCTCTTGGGCGGTCTGAGGGGCCTCCCGGGGCCCTCCTTGGCCGTCTTGGGGCCCCCTTGGCTTCGAAGAAGTCACGCGACAAGGCCCAAGAGCGCCAGACGCGCCCAGAAGCGCTCATAACACCTCAGGACTTAGGACGGAGGACTTGAGGGACTAGAGGAAATTCCAGCTTGTGCCTCAGGGCACGTTGGCAGATACATATTAGCAGTTTAGACTTGCGTAGCCCAGCGTAAACCTTTCCCTCCTTCGCGCCTCCCCTCCCCCCTCCTCCCCTCCCCCCTCCTCCCCTCCCCCCTCCTTCCCTCCTTCTCCTAATTATCCTCCTGCTCGTTTTCCCTGAGTTCTGGAAGATAGAGCCTATCCTTCTCCTCCTCCTCCTCCTCCTCATCATCATCATCATCATCCCCCTCACCCTCCCTCTTCATTATCCTCATTCTCATTATCCTCATTCTTCCTCCACTCCGCCTCGTCTCTATCCTCCACACCCCTCCTCATTTTCATCCTTCTTCTTCCACCCCTGAGTTGCCCTCGTTCGTCCTCATTCGCCGCCCCCCTCCTCCCTCCTCCGCGCCCTCCTCATCATTCCTGCAATCCTTTCCTCCCCTCCCCCTTTTGTTCCGCCGCCTCCTTCTCCTCCTCCTCCTTCTCCTCCTTCTCCTCCTCCTCCAAATCCTCCTCCTCCTCCTCCTTCCTCCACATCCTACTTCCTCATTCCTTCCTTTCCCTTCTTCTCCACCTCTGTCGCCCTGGTCCCTGCTCGTCCTCCTCTGTCATCCTTACTTTCGCCTTTCTCTTCTCCTCCCATGTTTCTTCAAGGAAGCAGCGGGGATGTTCTTGATGGCACCGACGCGCCTGGTCTACCCGCTCCTTAGTATCTCCCGATGGTTTTCGGAGATTACGCGCAAGGCCCGATGCCAGACACGTGATGCCCCAACAAGTACACCATTGGCCCGAACAGCCATGGGGGAGCCGTGGAGCAGTTTTTCTGACCCGGGTTTTTGTTTTCAGGTTTAGCCGGAGACAGGGGATTCAGGGAAGCACGGAAATAGAGAAAAACACCTGGGACACCGCGTCGGCAGGGACAGAAAGCCGACCCGCAAGGCCAGAAAAGTGCCTCACGGGCCTCAAACATATGATGATTCCTTGTTTGGGCTGGATTGCATCTGGATGTCTTCTTTTGGCGGGAGGGGGAAACCAGGGAAACGGGGCAACACCGCAGACTCCGCACAGCGTCGGCAAGGACCGACAAGCGACCCGCAGGGCCCGCAACAGTTTTTTCCACAGGCTAGGAGAATCACAATGCCTTCTTCTCTGGGCCGGATTGTCGCAGGTTTCCTTCTTTGGTTGGGAGGAGCCGCATCGGCATGGACCCACAAATAACACGCAAAGCCAGAACTGATGTTCCACAGGACACATGAGCCGTGATGATTCCTTTCCTGGACCCGGTTGCATCAGGGTTCCTGGGAGAGAACGGCGGAACCAGGAAAACATCGCAGGCACCGCACCGCGTCAGCAATGACCGAGAATCGACCCGCAAAGCAAGTAAAAGTGCCCCACAGGCCCGAACAACTTTTTGGTTTGTGGACCATTTTGTCGGCCTTTGCGCCCAGCA